GCCATCAGTAAGCAAGATAACTGTGTCAGTCCCCAGAATGATATTCTAACTTAACAATGTTCATAGAGACAAGTAATGTCATTTGTGAATCTTTATAAGGAGGAAGGAAATAACCCATTTTTTTCAGAAGCCTCTAACACATTTGTTCTAGCAACTTATTGTATACGATTGGTCCACATGTTAATGACAAGACTCTAGGTAACCATTAATAGTTGTTTTATGTCATAGATATAAGAACTAAATGTGACAATGAGATGCTAGAGATGTATACTTTGTTTTGCAAGTGGAATCCTCTGAGTTTTGATGTAAGATTAATTTTGATGACCAAAAATTCTACCAGAAAAAGAGATGGAATTTATAGCAAAAGAATATACAGATAGGTAATATTCTAAGCATATAACTACTTGTTATATATAAAAGCATAAGTGAGCAAAAGAAATTGGAGCTGGGAAGATTAAGAAACACTAGTGGTTCCAGATCACAAAAATGAAAGGCGAAATATAAATTGAAATGCGGGTTATGAAATCCTGTGAGATAGTCCTTGTCAGAATTCATTGAAAATCATTGGTGTGTATTTTTCTGTTGTTCAGGCTAAACAAGTTAAAAGCCAGGCACAGATTTTGAATTAAAAAGAAATGCATTTAAGACTATGTATACTGTTATAGCTCATATCACGTGCCCTCAGAACTTCATGCAATCTTAGGTGGGGGTTTAAAAACTGTCTGGATTTGGGTGTCTGAATGTGAGTTACGGGTGTGGTACTGGGATAAAGGGTGTGGATAATGGGTGGGTGGTATTGGTCAGCAGGTTTGTGATCCAGATAGAATATAAAGGGACAGAAAGAAGGCCGACTCCTTGCTTTGGCTGTTTGCTGTCTTCCTGCCTGCTGTGCCATGAACTAAGCCTCCTTTGTGATGCCCCTCTGCTGTAATGCCCTGCCTTGTAGTCAGGCAACTAGGTATGGAAAGCTCTATAAACTGAGATGAAATATATCTTTCTTCTTTTAACTTTGAGTAGCCTTTAACTTTGGGTATCCTGTATTCAGTAATGAGAGAAAAGTAATTAATACATATATCTACCTAGGAAAATAAGTAATCCAAAAAGATAATTTGTGTGTCACATGTATATTCCTAAACACAATCAGTATACTTTCACTCTGTTGTTCACATTCAGAGCAGCTGCTAGAAGGCAATATTGCCCTCTAGCTTTTTGCTCTCCTCCTAAGCCAGTTCTGAAACCACAACATCGCTACTCTTTAATGTAAAACGGCCATGGTTCATACAGGGCACAAATGAGGTTCAAGTCAAAGAGCTAGTGCATAATGGTAGCCAAAATCGTAGGCTTTGTAGATAGCCAGACTTGAGTTTCACTCTGAAAGGTGACCCAGAATCTGCCTTAAACCTCTGCTTTTCATCTGTAAGATGGAATAAGAGCTGGATATGGTGGCACCCTACTGTAATTCTAGCACTCTGCAAGACTAAGGCAGGAGGATTGCATGTTCAAGCCGAACCTGGCAATTTAGAGACTTAGCAAGGGAGGGCATGAGGTCAGTGCAGAGATCCTAGGTTCGGTCTCCACTGCTGGGAAAACAAAAGCCTTGGGAGAAGGTATTAATCGCTAATACTTTCGGGGATTTCTTTAGAATTAATGATTGCTAATACTTTCTAGAATTTTGTAGGAATTGCTGAGCTATAGTAATATATATAAAGGTTTTGAAGAGTCTGAAGCATAACTGGCTCTGGAATAAATAAGTATCTCTTATTACTGCTGGTTCTATAAGGCTTCATATGTGAGATGGGAGGGGCAGGATAAGATATAGTGGAGATTAATGATATACATGTAGTCAGTTATCACACTTTGGGGCTATCAGTCAGAATCAGTGAGGTGGCTTTTCTTTCTGTTATGGGTCTTAAACTTAATTCACTTTTATAGGGGAAAGTGTGGCACCCAAATTTTAGCAGTCATATAAATTCATATTTTTCTGTCAAAGACAGAATTCAGTCCAGATCATCTGACTTCAGGTTACTTTTACGAAGAAAAAAAATGTAGCAGTTTCTAAATGAGTCCTTGTTTACTGCTTAAAAAAGTAGGCTTGGGATCTTTCAATCAAGGAGCCAAGAAAGTATCACGAGAATTATACTTATTTTGTAAGATCTGGTCCCAAACTACAGGGGAGTTTTGATCTTACATATTTGTGAGGAGAGAAAGTCTACAATCACTCTAGTCCACTATGCATTTATTCCTAAAATGAAAGCATACCTTACACTGTAGCTGTTTGTTTCTAATGGTTAGCCATTAGTAGCTGATTAATAATGCTTCCAGATATTTTCCCAACTGACTGTTATAGCATCTGGAATTTCACTATTAGGATGGAATTTTATCATTTAGGTATAGTTTTAAGGCAGCCCTTGTTATACTGCATTGGGAAGAGGAATATTAACATATCAATAGTTAACCATCATTGATACTTAGACTAGTTATTTGTTCTAATGGCCTCCTTGGAGAGTACAAGCAGATACCAAAGAACAGCTGGATGTGATTGCAAAGAGCAAAATAGTTTCAAAGCCTGGGGAAGTGGAGAGAGCTGAAGTTTCCTCCCACCTCCAGGATGGGTAGGCAGCAAGAAGCTAGCAGCAGACAGAGCATGTGGGAGGTCATGACTCAGTCAAGCCTACTTAGGGTTATTTAGTCCTAGGGCTAGTCCTAAAAATGACTTAGAATTTCTTGCTCTTAATGGTAATTTCCCCAGGTTCCTGTACTCAGCAAAGTTGTAAAACTAAGAGATCATGTTAAGTCACATGGATATTTCTTAATTACAAAACGTACCTAACTCATTACATAGTAGCATATTGTCAGTACTTGTCAATATCTGCTGAATGTGTGAATCCTTTCATTATTCTACTCTCCCCTCAGTTCTTTAGAAAGTGACTCAATGTTGGAAATTTTAACAGATTTTCAAAAAGCCATAACAAAGTTGTGAAAGATCACCTTTATCCACTAGAAAATATTTCCATGATGAAAATATTTTTAAATCTGTTCTGACAAAAACAGTCACCACTAGCCACAAGTGGGTATTGAAAGGTTGGTAGAGACTAAGGAAATGAATTTTCATTTGATTTCATTTCAATGAAATGAAATCAATGAAAGCTACATGTGGCTAATCTATACCCCTACATTGTACAAGTCTAAAAGATTTCTTAAAAATATTCTGCCCTCCTAACTTTTTAATGTAATTGTTATTAACACCATCACTTGTGGTGTTTTATCTTTTTAAAAATAGAAATAATTGATTACCTGTGATGACTCTAAAGACTAGTGTAGCAGATCAAATTGGCTTGAACAGTAGCATCGCAGGGGAATTTACGCGTCATTGTGACGACTTGTAATACGGGCTCAATTTCTAATTTCAGCTATTGACATAAAAGGAGTGAGTTTGCCTCTTTGAAACTGTGAAGCATGTGAAGTGGGCCGGGCCGGACAGGCTGGCCTTTCAAACTAGTCTTCCTTTTGATAGCCTCCTCCCCCCTTAGGAATCTGGCACCTTCCGGATGCCTCCTGGGTGTGCAGGGCCCTCTAGGGTGCTTTCCCATTGCCTTCCAACTCTTCGCTTCCTAAAGTGCTGCCTCTTCCGAGGAAGACACAGCGGAATGTGTGTGTGTGTGTGTGTGTGTGTGTGTGTGTGTCCGCGCGCGCGCACTAATATTAAGTTCATACCGTGTGCTTCTTACACACTTTCTACCATGATCAGTAAAACATGTGTTGCCTGCATAAATGAATATTATCTCCGTGGCAAATAGGGTTGAATAAAATTTTTACTATATGAAGCATAGTCGCATAGTACAGTTATACGACTTTCTCACGGTAATGATACACAATATTTTCACCATTTAATCTTTCCCCCTCCTTCCTGATTTAGCCACTTGCCTGGTTGCTCGTATTCTCGGGGATTCTGCTCTTTACTTTTCACAGAGAACCACCAGCTAAACTGACCAATAGAGTCACACAAACATGCAAATATATCAGTAGAACCGGTCTTCAGCCCCTTTCTCAAGGCTCCCCAGATTTTAACGCCAATGGCGTGGGGACAGGCTCGGTTTACAGAAATGGCTCCCTCGGAATTTCATGCTGTGCAGAGATATATTTTGGTACTTTAATGGCATTAAAAAACATTCCACAGCCGATATTTTCCAGGAGCCTGGACACTTACATAAAAGAAACGCATTCATTTATAAATTTAACTTCGACAACGTTTGCATTTATCTGAATGTTATGAAGTGCAGACGACTGATTTGTGTATTAGTTCCTATCACTACATTTGACTTGTAAGACACATTAAAAAAAAAATAGGCTCCTCCTTCATCTCGTCCCCTCTTCCCTCCCCTCGGAACCTTCTATGCTTCTGAGTAGGGTGTAAAGACGTAGGTGCATTTGGAAAGGACTAAAATGCAGCTCTGAGATTTCCAACACAAAGACCACAATCAGCGCTAGAGCACAAGTATTTCAAACACATCACACCCAGAAGTTGGAGGACTACAAAGTCCAAGTCGTCCAGTCCAGTCTGCAGAGACCGTTCAAGCTTCCGCCAGAGCAAAAGCCGGGCAGGCGCCGCGCCGCGCCGAGTTGTAGCCGCAGAAGAGGAAGAGCATCACCTGCAGTCGGCGGCCTGCGAAGCGCCACCCGGAGGGGGTTTGGGAGCCCGAGAGTGCGCGCCGCGGGCTTCGGGGCTGCTCGGGTGCTGGGGGTTAGGACGCCGCAGGGTGGCCAAGGGCGCACGGCTCACCGTGGGGACGGCTGCAGCCATCGGGCAGCTGCTGTACGCAAGCCCGCCGTAGCCTCGGCGCCTGCACCGCAACTGCCCGGGAGGCCGACCCAGCCGGAGAACCCCGTCCGCGGCGGGGCGCCGGGGCGAGGCGGGGCGCTGACGTCACCTCCCCTCCCCCAGCCTCTCCAAGGGGGAGGGCGGGAGCCACAGAGGCAGCCGTGCGCCGCAGCTCCCGGCCGCAACTCCTCAACTCGGCGGCTGGCTGCCTGGACATGTCCTGACAAACTTGGCTCTCCCGGCCCTCTCCCGGCCCTCGCTCGCTCTCCGGCAGCCTCCTTTCGGTGCTCAAGTTTACCCCTGTCGGGAGGACGCTCTGGAGATGCGGCCACCTGGGTCCCAGCAGTGCGGGCGGATCGCGCTCTGGTTGGGGATATGTTGAAGATCCGGAGGTGGCAAAGTTGGCACTTAAAACACGGCTGCTAACAACATCCCAACCGCGTGGGCTTCACCGGACTGCCAGGAGGACTGGAACGCGGAGCACCGAGAGGTGAGTTCTTTGTTCAGGGCATGTCTCGTGTTTTAAGTTTAAACGTAAATGAACTAACACGGGGTGCTCGATTCTGAGAGTGTAGGATGCATGTGCATCGTTTAGGGTCTCCACTCCGGACACCGCACACACCCTGGTTGTGCACCGCTAGGAAAGGAAAGATGTGTATGCAGAGCTTTCTGAATTCATAAAATACACGCAGAGCACTGTTCAAAAAACTTCAGAAGCGAGGCCGTCTGTGCATTATTTCAAATGTAACTTATTACAGAAATGGTGCCCAGGGAGGGCGCATCGGGGACCCCGTATCTGCAGTGGCGCAGCGCCCTCTAGGCCGGTCACCCGGCAAGGCGCGCTGCTGTAGGAGTCCACGCGGACGGCGAACTTGGACCTGCAGCGCGCTCGGAGGATGTGGGCGCAGGCAAGCTCGATTGCTGCCTCTGCAGCCTCTATGTACAACCCACCCGGTCCATTCTTTAAAGGATGTCCAAAAATCAGTTTGGGTGGACTGGATGCAGAGTCCTGGCTGCAGGAAAGGATTCTGTCTGGGAACGGTTTTTTTCCTTCCCACTAATTTCCTTGAGTCTCGGGGACAGAATTAGGGAGGGTCGACTATTTAAAGGACATATGTGCACATGTCTTTCTTTTGTGAGGAGGTAGTTAATGTTAGCCAAACAATACACCCTTGTTTCTTCTTGTAGGTAAAGGATCTTAGTATCATAGCACCAGAGCCTGGATCTGTGGCTCTCCATGTATCCTGTGGCGACGAAGTGCAACTTGTTTCAGGAATTTTTATTTTTCAGTGAGCTTGCAAAATAAGGATTCTCAAACAGACGTCTTAGTTCTAGTAAGCGCTAATACTTATTAATAAGTGGTAATTTTCTCCAGAAATTTTTGTGTGCCTTTTAGAAAATCCTGAGATTTTCCTGTTACTGACCGATAACTTTGTACTTTTTAGTGTTTTTTCGTTCATTTCCAAGCACTGCCCCAGGCCCCCCTCCCCCAGGCTTCCCGCCCCCCAAACCACTCGGCTGGCGTTCCCGTGTAGCCGGGTTTTGCTGAGATTTAGAATTTGGCACGGAGTGCAAACCCGTAGAGCTTGGAGATCCGGTCACTCACTTCCTAGGTGTTCGGTGTATGAAACTGACCTGTAACTCCAGGAGCACTTCGCGCAGTTGTATTTATGACCAAACCAGTGTTTGGATGATGGTGTATTTGCTGGGTGCGTGAATCTGTGTATATTCTAAACAGTTCTGCAAGGAGTATGTTGCTACGAATTGGCACACTCATTCTGCAGCCATTATGTTTTCTTCCCAGTTAATACCTGCTGGCCACTTTTTTTTTTTAATCACGAGTAAGTATATTAACTTTGAACCGCAGACACAGTCTTAGTCTTTCCCCTTTATCAGCTTCGCGATTCGTCCCGTACTCCCCTCCTCCCGTCCCCGGAAAATCACATCTCTTCGTCCTCACTGTTAAAATGTTCGAGCCCCAAAAGACCGCGAGGTCGTGTCTGCCGTTGTCTCCCGGCCGCGTCCCGCCGCCCTGGAGCCTGGCCTCGCCGGGGACTCGCAGACTGCGCGCTAAACGGAGTGCCTGGAGCGGTGCTTCCCTGTCTCCTTAGGGAATTTATAGTTGTTCAACTGGATTTTTCAGTTTGCGGCCCCCTGGGGCGGAGTTAAGGTTTTAGGAATTGCTTGAGGCTGCTCAGCTGCCTTTTGTCCCGCAGAGCAGAGCTGGGGGGTGGGGGACGTTGTCCTCGCCCCCGCGGGGAATCCGGAGGTTCTGGGGTTTTAAACTCTGCACAAAGAGATCGCGGAAGAAACATTTCCCTTACCATGCAACTTAGTGTAGATTTCAGGAGAAAGTAGATCGGCTCCAATTACATTCCTTTTGAGATCGGTAGTGTTTTATCCCCCAAGCAATTGCAGACCCAGAAGAGAGGCATTCAAATGCAGATTCAGTAATTTCCTGAAGGTTCTAAAAACTAACGGGATACGCAGGGAGCTTTTTCCTTAGTCTTCAGCTGACTTTTTCCCTTCCCCTAGAGCAAAGCTAATGTTTCCTCTTTCCTAGCAGGGAACATTCCATGTTAAATCCTTCCACCAGTGTGTGTGCTGGCCATAACTAACCCGCGGCCCCCATCCGTTCCTTGAAGTGTCGCAAGACCGCCCTGGGCGTTTGCTCGGAGCTGGCCTTGCAGGGACCAAGCTCTTGACCCCGGGCGGGGCGTCTCGGTCGCCCGGGCCCCGCGGGCTCTGGGTCCCTTCGCCGAGCGAAGTCGGCTGGAGTTTCCGCGCGGGAGGAACGAGCGCCGGCGCGGGAAGGCGTGGCCACGGGCGGAGGGATATTCCGGGCGCGGAGTGAGAGTGAGGCGCCCTCGAGCTCGCCGCACTTTGCAGGGCCGCCTTGCCGAGAAGTGAGCGGGCGGCGAGGTGGCCCAGACACCATGCAGACGTGCGGGCCCAGTGAGGTCCCCGGCAGATCCATGCCCCGCTCGGGGGCGCCCTGAGGTGGCGAGTGTGCGGGTGGAGAGCGCCGTGGAGACTTGGACCCAACTTTGCAGTAAGTTTGCTGGCAGTGAAGTTTGGCTTGAGGGAGCGCACTAAGGGCGCAGCGCCGAGTGGAGCTGCGGCCACCGGTGCGCGCCGGCGCCGGCTGTGTCTTCGAGGAACGCGCCACTCGGCGTCTCCGGTTTGCAGACCTGCGGCGCGGTGGGCTCCTTCCTTAGGCTCAGGACTCGGGCTCGTGCTGTTCCCGGGGTCCCCGGGAGTAGGTGGAGGGAGGCGCCCGGCTGGACGCTAGCGAGGACCCGGGTCCTTCCCACTTGGAAAGTTTAGTCTCGGCGCCAGCTCCGCGGCGGCCCGGGGAGGATGCGGGGGCGGGGGGGGGTCCTTGGCATCGTGAGCGGCGTGGTAATTACCGAGCGGCTACTGCGGAGAGCAGACTGAGGCCGGCGCCTGCCCGGGCTGGTTCCGGAGCCGCCGCCGGAGCCCCGCGGCCGAGGGAAGGACCGCTGCCCGAGCTCCGAGTCCCGCAGGTCCTGCGCTCGCTCCTCGCCGGCCCCGGGAGCGGGCCCGCCCGCTCCTGACTCCCTGACCTCGCTCTCAGGCTATGAGAGCCTTGCACATAGGTGAGGTGGAAGGAAGGCCAATCGGGAGAGTAGGAGCTTGGAAGTGGAGTCCTAGGATTCTTGTAGAGGTTCTGTGTTTTGAAGGGCAGTGTTCTGTGTCCTGAAGCAGTCAGTAGCCCCGAGGTTTCAGTGCGACTGGTTGAGTGCTGATTTGGAGAGGTGCGATCGGTACCTTTTTGCTGGGCTTACTGCTGGCAAGATGTGCTGTCAGTTGTTTGTGTGTTTTCTGTAGAAAAAGCTTTTAAGATTGTATTAGAAAAGGGATTCTGACTCTTGAATATTTCTTCTTAGGGTGCTCTCCTTTAGGAATCTGCCTTTCTCTTGTGTCCCCCCCCCCCCCGCCCCCTGCCATGTAATTTGCAGAGCTTTGGAAACAAGGGCATAATTGTATGTGTTAGAGTGAACTGAGATATTTTTATGCAGTTAATTTTTTAAAATTTTTGCCTGTATCTGAACTGTGGTTTCATTAAGTGACTTTTGTTAAGCAACTTCCTGATACCTGGTAAAAGAGGAGGAGGTTTTTTTATTTTCTCAAATTGAATATTTACGGTTTACTAGAATTGTAAAATATCTGAAAGGCATACTTTTTAAATTTTTTCAAAAGCAGGTTCCTAACGCCTCACATAGTCAGTTTTGGGTAATTTAGAAAGGTATTTACCTGTGTTAAAATTAAGCAATAGTTATGTACTTTTACAATGCTCTAGAAGAGTTTCAGTTACTCAGCTTTTCAATTGTTACAGGAACTCATGTAAAAGTGTTTCCTGTATATACAGTTTAATCTTGGTATTTGCTCTTGATTCTTAGGAGGACGGCTTTGATTTCACAATTAGAATTGTCTCTTTTTATATATTTAAGGTTGAAGATATAAGGATCCTTAAAAGATGTTACAGTTTTTAAAAGTAGAAATTGATGTGATTTAAATTATGCCAGATGTGCCATTTGGAAGGCTCAGTCTGCATTTTAAGTAGAAGTTTGGATCTGTGCACACATTTCTTTAAGAATTAACCTTGTATAGGAACTAGATTGTCACTGTGAAAGTTGTTGGCCACCTGTGTAGTGTGTTCATTTGTGTTTTTTTCAGTGAAGTGTCTTTATTGGGTTGTGATCATGTTAGTCGACCATTTAGATTCATGGTAAAAATGTGTATGTGAATTAATACCATTTTCACTGCCTGTTGCCCAGACTTTCTAGTATATGTCTTTTTTTTTTTTCCCTTTATTATGTTCTTGGTACTGGAGATCAAACTCACAGCCTTGTTGCTGGGCAAGTGCTGTGCCACTGAGCTAAATCGCTGGCCCTAGAATATATTCCTTCAAACTTAGCTTTTGAGCTTCCTATGAAATAGTCATTTCTTTGAATATTAGAAGTGGAAGAGATTTGTAGAGATTATCCTTTTATCACAACTACCATCCATTGTCCATTCATATTTGACTAGTTTTACACATAAATAAACCAAATTAATACAGTACTGTTGCCATTGAAAGCTGCCTAAGTGGCCTAATTTGCGGCCTAAAGGACCTAATTTAATTTAGTAACATGAAGTCATAAAAGTTCTGTGTATGTTTTAATTTTTATGAGTGGGAAATAGCAGGTGTGTGTGTGTGTGTGTGTGTGTGTGTGTGTGTGTGTGTGTTTCCAGAGTGGATGATAAAGCCAAATTCCAACTTTTGGTCTCAATTGCCTAATTGTCAAGTGTTAGCCTATCTGTAGACTCTGGAAAAGTTTTTAAACGGTTTTCTGTACATCATTTAATGTCAGAACAGAAGGTTGCCACTGTTACTCAGTTGAGAAAGGAGCGTTTCATGTTTAAAAAGTATTCAATTAGATGAAGAATTTGTATATTGTACATTTTCAAGTGTTTTAAAAGTAC